GACCACCTGTGGTTTGAAAAACACTCATAACATAAATGTTTGAGTTCTCAATATTGAAAAGTTATCTCAGGATCTTGATATATAATCCTTTGAGTTACTATCAAAGTAATTAGTACATCACACATGATATTTTTATGTCTTTCTTTCCTATGATTTCTTTTTCTTATAAATATTTTGATTTGATGTTAATGTTTATGCCATTTTGTGTGTTTTTTTTCCCTCATTTAGCATACAGGTTCTTGGGGAACAAAGGCTTTTCCTTTATTTAAAATTTTTAAACAACTTGTATTTTGAATCTATTGACAAACTTACAGAAAAATCACAAGGGAAATACAAAGAAGTATTTTTACATTGTGAAGAACTGGAAAGTAAATTGTATACCTGATGTTCTATCACTTCCAAGGACTTAAATACATATTTTCTACAGATAAGGAAAGATATTTTCCTATATAAGTACATGTAACCATAACAAGCGGGAAATTAATACAGCAGGAGCTGTTGCAACGGAGAAAGAAAATAAAATACATTTAAGCAGATTTGACAGACTTTGTTGATTGCTTATATACAGAAAAAAGAGAAAAACCATAATGTTGGAAAAAAAGTCCATCAATCACCCTTTTACATGTTTGTGTATATATGTGATTAGGAAATGGCCTACATTTAAAATGTTTAGGTACTTAACACCTCATTGTTAATACTCTATAGGAATACAGTTTTAGATTATTGTAATAACAGACATTTTTAATCATGGTTTTCTGTAGTTGTCTACTGTTAAGATTTATTGTTAAATAACTGGGATTTTGAGTCAAATAATAGAATCTTTTGAACAGATTTATGGGAAAGTGAGATATTTTGGAAATCATCCTAGGTTCTGTGGATAGTGTTAGTGAGTTAAAGGTATTGAAAGAAATGGGCAAGAGAATCCACATCTTATATTCTCCCTCTGACTTCTCTGAGTATCCAGTCCCAGATTTAAAAGTCAAAATTACTCTTTGATCCATGGGCTACAGAATGGATGTTGTGCTAGCAGGCATGAAAATAGCATTCATCTCATTGTACATCTCCATCAGAGCTCCTGGGTGAACAGGTACATAGCCAATGAGTAGTAATGTTTTGAAAGGAATATTTTTTTCTGAATAGTAGGTCTCAACAGTGAACTTAAAATACTCAGTAAAACATGTCATAAACATGTGCTATCATCCAGGTGGTGGTGTTCCACTTATACAGCACAGGCAGAGCAGATATAGCATAATTCCTGGGGGCCTAGGATTTTCAGAATGGTCAGTGAACATTAGCTTCACCAGCTGTATTAGCTCCTAACAAGAGTCAGCCTGTTCTTAGAAACTTTAAAGCCACACACTGACTTCTCTCTAGCTATATAAGACTGTTTCATCTTCATAGAAAATCTTGTTTTTTAGTGTAGCCACCTTCGTAAATTATAAATTATCTTAGCTAGATGTGGATAACCTGCTGCAGCTTCTGTATCAGCACTTGCTGCTTCACCTTGCATTTACATCTTATGAAGACAGCTTGTTTCCTTAAGTCTCATGAACCAACTTCTGCTAGCTTCAGACTTCTGCAACTCTCTCACCTCTTTCAGCCTTCCTAGAATTAAAGAGAGTTACGGCCTTCCTCTGGATTAGGCTTTGGCTTAAGGGAAGGTTACGGATGTTTTGCTTTCTTATCATGTGCATGTTCATTAGATAGCACTTTTAATTTCCTTCAAGAATTTTTCTTTTGCATTCACAACTTGGCTGTTTGGCCCAAAAGGGCTAGCTTTCAGCCTGCCTCAGCTTCTGACATGCCTTCCTCACTAAGCATAAACATTTTTAGCTTTTGATTTAAAGTGAGACATATAACTCTTCCTTTCAATTGAACACTTAGGAGGTCATTGTAGGGTTATTAATTGGCCTAATTTCAATACTATTGTGTCCCAAGGAAAGGGGGGGGAGACCAGAAATAGCGTGGGTACAGTCAAAACACATACAATATTGATCGAAGAAGTTCTCCATCTCATATGAGTGCAGTTCATGGCATTCTAAAACAATCAAAATATGACTTCAGAGGTGACTAATCACAGATCAGCAATAAATATAAAAGGAAAAGGTTTGAATATTGTGAGAATAACCAAAACGAGACACAGAGACCCAAAGTGAGCAAATAAATGCTCTTGGGAGAACAGCACCGAGAGACTTGCTCAACACAGGATTGTCACAAACCTTCAATTTGTTAAAGACATGATATCTGTGAAGCTCAGTAAAACAAAGCTCAATAAAACAAGATACTTTGTACTGCTATAAGAGTATCCCTCCCCTTTGCTCCTCCTCTCCATTACCACAAGAATTAAATTAGTTAGTACAGGTAAAATTCTTGGAGTGGTGCCTTGCACTTGGTAAGTGTTAGTTAGCCCTTCTTATTGGTTATTTTGATTTTTACATAGTTGACCTCTCAGGTCTGTCTGATCCATTCCTTACCATTAGTAGTACTCTGTCTTTAATTTCCTCTCTTGCTGTCCAGATTAGTCTTTCTAGGACACTGTTCATACGATGTTGCTCCATTTTAATACCTTTCGTAAAAAGGGGGAAGCAAAACAGGTTCTTGGTAGAATTATCTGATGACTTGCCAAAACCAAATAAAACATGGTATTATTGAAGGAGGTAAATTTGAATTTTGAAGTAGTAGAAATTTTGTTTTAGGTATTTAAGTTCATTGCTTACCAAAGTAGTTTCAATTTTTATAGAAAGAAAAGGTGTGTTGATCAAATTCAAGAAAATTTGCTAGTTATTTTTAGCAAGACTAAAACTAGAATTTTATCTGAAAAACTCAGCAGTTCAGTTAAAATAGAATGTGAAGAGTAAAGGTCAGGAAGGTTTTAGGAGTTTTTTTATGTTAGGAAAATAAATTAATGTACTTATTATCCAGGTTTAATGAGTAAGAAAATTATGTGTGATTCTTTATTCTCTTGTTCACTTCAGAATCTTCAGTTTCTTTTTTAGAATTTAAGTGTAAAGAATAGCTTCATTTCTCTATTTTAAAAATAACATTCTTTTTGTTAGAAGAATCATGGGAGACCTTATCTAATTTCTTAGAGAAGTCACTTGCTATGTGTTCATTTGCATGACTTGCTCTTTAACCCTTTGCTCATCTTCAGCTATTTTTACACTCTAAGTACTTTAGAATATCAGGGAGAAAAATATCTTTCACCAGTAAAAACTGCGTTGGAATTGGTTTTTTAATATTGATAGCTACTTGACGCCATTTTACCACAGTTTCAGTTTTCTGATAATTTTTTTAAATCAGGCTTTTATGTATATTATTTTACAACTTTACTGCAGGAAATGGCAGTGTGAGAGTTAATGTGTTACATGCCGGGAAGAACAGTCCATTGGGGGTTAAATTGCAGAGTCTAATGGAATAATAACTGGTAGCACCATCTGCTGGCCTACTTCCGCAGAAGGAGTCAGTATTTTTAACGACATCTCTAATATTCATGCTGATGCATTTTGATGCTTTGTGCATTCATTTCTTTCTGTGCTTTGTTGGAATCTGGCTATCTGCTTACAGCTATTCAGGAAACTCAGCTTTTTAAGAGGGGTTTACAGCCTTTTTCACATCTAAATAGGATGAACAGTGGATATAAACCCGCCAGGGCAGAAATGTGTTGATAAATCACAATGTGTTATTTGTGGAGGGTCGTGCATCTCTTGGTTGCAGCTTGCTAAATAGGCCATTTAGGAATCTTCCTTCAATGCTTTTTTCTTGAGCACTGCCTGGGGTGGTGAAAAAGCAGAGGGCAAGCCTTTGTCTGACGCCCAAAATGTCTTCAGTGAAGAGGCCAAGAGGAAGGGTAAGTGAAAGCCTGAATGAGTGGGAGGAGGAGGGGTTCTTTGGGCTAAAAGGCTAATGGGATTGAATAACCTTCCTTATTACTGGCTGCTGCTGCGGGAGTCGTACTGCATCGCCATCTTGAGCTTGTTGCTGTTTTCTCGAGTCTTGATTATTTGTTACCGCCTGTAGGCCTTAAGGTGGCATTTTTGTGAACGATTCTAAACCCTCCTTCCTTTCCCAGTGCAACTGCACTGCTATGAAACCTTTGATGAGGCAGGTATAGAAAAGATATCCAGTGAAGCACACTGGAATCAGCATGAAAATGTGTTTGGAAATTCCTGGTGGTTTTTTCCTTTGCTATAGTCACAGGCATGTTTACGGGTAAGGACGTAACAAAACTGTGATCTAAGTATATGGGGATGGATGCGTGTTTGGAGAGTATATTCTTTTTAAAATGCTGTTGATCTGCTTCCTGTGATAGTGCTAAAATATTAATAATTTTAACATGAACCTATAAAACTTGTTTTTTTTTCTTCCAGAATTGCTTGAGCAAGATAATTATGTATAGAAAGAGAAAAAAAATCACATTTAACTCTCTCATGGGAAGACGAAAACTTTCTCTAATTTAAAGTATGGGAATGTCTGTTTACTAACTAGCTATGTTGCTGCAGAGATTGCACATTAAAATTATTAAGTAATTTCGGTTCTAGTTTCTTGTAAAGCAGAGAGGCTTTATTTTCTAAAAAAACCAGTGAAGTATAAAGAGTAGTCATTTTACATTAGAATTGCTATTTTAAATTTAGTAATTATTTTCAGAGTTGTGGAGTGAGGACAGAAAATACTTTTATTCCAAACGCACAGAATATTTACATGATAAAATTGGAATCTGCTGTGTTTACAGGACAAAACTTAAATTAACTAATCAAAAATGCTATGAAAATATAAATAAATCTGTATTATCCTTTAACCTTCATTTTTAAAAGCAGTAGTTGAGCTTTTCATTTTATACCCCCACTAATTTCTAGATAAGGAAAATGTTTTAATTTTAAATGTGTAACATGTATTTGCTCTTGTATTTTACTCTTTAAGCTTAATTTAAAATTTTCCATTTATTTTTAATTGTTTTAGATGTTCTTTGATATGTTATATAAAACATATTTTGATTTCTCTAGCCTCCATCTTCCAAGAAGAGTGATGTTTCTGGGACATATACTAAGTTGCAGAATACCCAGGTGAGGATCATGTCTGAGAAGAAGCAAAGAAAAAAGGTGGAATCAGAAAGCAAGCAAGAAAAGGCTAATCGTATAATATCAGAGGCCATAGCAAAAGCAAAGGAGCGTGGGGAACGCAATATTCCACGAGTAATGAGCCCTGAAAACTTTCCTAGTGCTTCAGTTGAAGGAAAAGAGGAAAAGAAAGGTAGAAGGATGAAATCTAAGCCAAAGGACAAAGAGAGCAAGAAAACAAAAACTTGTTCCAAGTTAAAAGAGAAGACGACAAAAATTGGGTAAGTTGGTTAAGAATTAAATTTAAATCCTTTGGATTTTTTTTGTTAAAATGCAGTCTGTCTAATCTTTCACTTTGATTTGTGTGGTGTTTACTCCCAATATGGAGTTTTAAGTTGGTAAATATTACGTGTACCTTATTTCCTTTCTGAATGAGGTAATACTCCAGGATTTACTAAATTTTACTATTCTGTGAACATAGCTTTTTGTACATTAATATTAGTAACACGAATTTAAAATAGGAAAATATTTTGTGTATAAAACAGGAAAAGAAAAAACAACAAACCTATATTGCTGTACCAGTTTCAAATTCACTTTCTTTATAGAATGTGCGTTCAAGTGTTTTACAAGATTTCTTTACCTCTTAGCTGTATTCATTAGCATTTTATAGTTTGGAAACATCAAATACAATATTTTCTCATAAACCCACAAGTTTGGACTAAATGGAATGACAAGACAACTAAGACAATTTGAATCAACAGTAAGCAGCTTTAGGCTCTTAATGATTTACTCCCTTAACAGTCTGTCTGATTTACTTTATGTAAATAAGGAGGCCAGGTGTGGATTAATGCTCCACGGTAATTATAAGGACAAAGAATTGCTCTAGGAGGGCACATTAATCCAAGTAATGTTTTTAGAACTACCTATCTAATACATTTTCAAAAAATAGAATATAATGAGTGTTTTTCTTTGCCTTATAGGTATGTTTGTTTTTCATGTAACAGTAAAAATATCCCAAGGCCAACTTAGTTTAGAATTGTGTTTGCCAGAGTATTTGGTCATTTTGAAGGCTGTGAACTTTAAAGTGTTTTATCTGGTTTCTTTTTTTCATACAGAAGAGTGCACAATGTAGAAAGAATTCCCTTACAGAAATCCTCATTTGCTTAAGAAATGATTAATACATTATGTAGATATTTGGAACTAACACACGTTTGTAAACAAAATTACTTCTCAGCATTTTAAATGCAACCACTAAACTGAATTGTATCATTAGGTCCTGATATGTTTTCAATGCAAACCCTTAAATAACATGGGCTCTCATGGTATAATAGAGCAATAATTGATATTATTGATACTGCATTTCATTTGCAGACACTAAAATGAAATTTGAAAGTTAAATTTCTTCTTGTATATTTAAAGGTTTTTCTGTATGAATCTATCTTATTTCTCCAATATTACATTTAGTTTTAATTTGGAAAACCTCATACTTAATCCTTTAATGTATTAAAAGTTAATGTAATAAAAGTTTTTCAATTTTGTATATAGATATAGACAAAGTAGTGTACTATTTGAAAGGGTATTAAAAATAATGCATAAAGCAAGAGGATATTGTTAGAGAAAGTTCATACAGGAAGTTTAAACTTTGGGAGGACTAGGTAGAGGCAAAAAGATACAGAAATTAATCTGGTTCAAGAAAAAACAATGTACATATAGGGAAATTAGAAGTAATTAAATTACACTAGAGAAATACAGATTTTTGAAAAATATGAATTAATACGGTGGGGAATAATATGACTCATTCTGTGATATTTGTATTTTTGTTACAAATACGTAGATTATTTACAATAATTTATTTTAATATTGCACAGCATTGATCAGTGTAGTAGTACTTGTTTTCAGAGATAGCATTCTTGTGAAAATAGGTAAGAATTGTACTGGAAATATACATAATTGGCGAGGTATTGAGTAGTTGCTAGAAAAAGTTGTTGAGCATATAGGACATTTTTTATAGAGGAATTTATAAATTGCAGGCAGTTAAGAAAAATTGAAGCTTGCCTATTGTTAAACTGTTGGAGTAAAACAATAACCTCTTGATCATCTTTATCAAACAGACTATTTTGTTGGAGTAAAAAGCATAGTTGGAAATGAAATTCTTACACAATCTAGAGTTCATATATTAGTTGAAATATTTCATTCCTGTATTTTCCAATAAGCCACTACATTTTAAGTAGTTAAGTTTAGTTGCATCATCTTATGATATATTAAACATTTTATTGTAAAAAATTTACTTTTCTATTAGTTTTAGAAAATTGGGCTGTTACTTATAGCAAATGATTGAAATCAGTTGAAATTAGAATGTATTTTGGAAGTTAACCACTAGCAACATGAAATATAAAATTTGAATGTAAATAAGTTATGGTTGATGTATAGTCAGTCAGAGGTGGTGTTTATTTAACCCATATATGCCATTTGATAAAATCCTGAAGAAAACCAATACTGCCTCTGCTTGCTAGTGTGCTTGAAATCTTTTTGTTATTTCTGGCACTTCTACAGATTTTTTTTTTAATACAAAGAATAAAGCTTTTCAGAGAACTTTCATATAGTCCCACTTAATTCTACAACAGTTCTTTGAGTTAGACTGGATATGCAGTATGATAATTTGGTTAAGTTCTTTGGCTTTGGAGCCAGTTACATTTGTTCAAATCCATTTTATCACTTACAAGCTGTGTGACCATGGACAAATAACTTAAACCTCTCCAAGTTTTAGCTTGCCCATTTGTAAAATGGGAGTAATGATAGTAATTGCCACATAATGTTATTTTGAGGATGCAAGGATTTAATAATATTTAAAATATATTTTAAAATAATATAGAAAAAGTTCCTGGAACTTACTTAACAAATATTAGCTATTATTATTTTCTGAAAACATAAATAGCATATAGTTACTTAAGGAAAATATCCATGGCGAGTAGCCACACCCCTTCCATTAAGCCTAAAGTCACTCATCTGCCTAGGTTTTCTGAACATTAAGGCTGTGATCCTAAATAAGAACGGTTAGAAAAACAGAAACAGGTGCCACTTGTTAGGAGGGATAAAAGGTTAAATTATTAATAGCTTTTTCCCTGTGATTGTGGCTCTTTTTCAATTTAGAGTAGCATTTAGGACAGGTAAATTTGTTTGAGCTATGCCTAGAGTTTGAAAGGGTAGCCCATGGTTATGTGGAAGGGTATGGGTTGAAAAGGAAATAGTGGGTATATAATAGTGAAGTAGGATGGGAAAAAACCTTTTTCTACATTAACTTGTTTCATAATCTTGGTGGTCAGGTTCTAGCAACCTGTCTTTCAAGTAGAATGGCTGGCATTTCTTTAGTAATAGTACGTACATAGTAGATGCTTCCAGAATGAAAAGGAATGGAATGGATGGAAGATTAAATACTAAATGGTACCAAATGGTTGGATTTGATCTGTTAAATCAGAAACAGAAATGGCAAGCTAATCTGTCATAAAAACACAGGAATGTAATTAATGGTTTAATAAGAGTAGAGAAATAAATTATGACATCATTCTTAGACTTACAGGAGAATTTTCTTATGGATCTCTTTGATTTTAGATTATGTAATAAAGTGTCACGTGGTTTGATTGAATCATTTTTAAATTGAGGGTTTATAACTGACATTTAAATTGTGTTTCCATCTTGTCAGAATTTACTTTGTGTTATAGATTATGGGACTGATACCGGTAAAATGATTTTGATACTTAAAAACATTCTTGTGGCCCTCTGAATTTAATCAGTAATAGTCCTTCGTGATCAGTTTTCTCTTTTGATTTATTCATAATTATTTCTGTTGAAGGAATACTAGTTATCAGGTGCTAGAAATAGTTTTTCTCTTTAAATTAGAAAACATCTTAATTAGGAATATTTGTCAAACTCCAGTATAGATTAAGGATGTCATGTTATAAAGACAATGAAACATTAAATTAAATCTTGAAATTATATTCTTTTTTGCTAGCCTTTTTGAACCCCCAAGAAGGAAGAAGTGAAATAACATTAATTACCTACTATCATACATATAGATATTTATGTATCTGTGTAGTTTTTAAACAAAACTAACATACAAGTATGTCCACATATATGTCTGTAGAGACATTTACATCTAAATAAGGAAAAATAAGGTCAATCATCGGAAATTGGGAATTATCACTTTATAGTCTATTAATAAAATGACAAGTGAGACCCTGATTGCATATATCCAAAATAATAGAATTTCATATATGGATAAAGTGTAGACACATTCTAATTACTTATTTCTTGGCATATGATAAAAAAAGCAGTTTGAAAAAATGTATAAATTTATAATGTATTTTTAATTAATCATATACCACTAATAGTCTCTAAGTTCTGTTATTATTAAATGCCAAGCAAATAAAATGTTGTATTGACTTCACTCCTTATATTCTAAATTTAAACCCAATGAAAATCTGAAACATATTCATTAAAAAGAATTGATACATGCATTATTTGTTATTATGAATTTAATTAAGATTTGCAGTTGCATTTTTAAGAAGTACACCTTTATATAAAATGTATTAGTAAAGCTTATTGTTACCAAACAGCGTGCTGTATTTCATTGAATTTAAAATGTCATTGGTAGTAAGACATGTCATTACTTTATGGATCAGTAAGAAACAAAAAAATATTACCAGCTAAAACCATGGCATATTTTTGATTAATAAGTGATCTTTATCTCATAAATGTTAATATATATGCATAAATGTCATTTTCTTTTTTTAAAAATAAGTTTTTTTTTCAAGAATAAGAATTAAACCATGCAGAGAATATTGACTGTGATTAGTACTTAGCTAATACTTGTATCTTTAGTAACTGTTTATATGGAACAATTCCGTAAATTCAACTTTTTGAAAAAATTAAGTCCATCCTAAAGTAGGAAGTAATATGTAGTACAAGGCATCAAAAGCTTACAATGTTACTTCTACAAACTGAAGGCTTAAGTAAAATAAAGAACCCTTTTAAAACTTGATTTTTTTTCCCAGAGAAGTTTAAGATGTAGTTTTAAATTGAACCTTAAACTGGATTGATTTCACCAGATTTAATGTTTCTTTTAAAAAAATAAGTTTATATTTGATGACCTTAAAAATAGCCCCAGTCAAAAATCTCCTGAATATAAACATGAGTAACTTCTTCCTGAGCACATCTCCTTGAGCAAGGGAAACACAATAAAAAATGAACACATGGGACTACATCAAACTAAAAAGCTTTTGTA